TGGAGAACGATCACAAGGATGTTCCGGTTTCAATCTAAACCTAAATTCTCTCTGCACTAATGCCCATTTCTCTTTGGAGCCCTCTTCACTAGCTAACGCGCAGGCTGTCTGAAATTCAGCTTCATACGAGTGGATGTCAACAAGTCCCAAAATCACGTTTCACACTGTTCTGAAGCTCTTGTTCAACAGCAAAACAGTGGAAAGACAAGCAGATAGCGGGAATTGAACAAGAAAAAACTACTTAGCGCTCAAAACTTGGTTTGTTTGCTACTGGACTTGATTAGAGCCTTCTTCATCGGTGGAATCCTCTCTACAGGAGCTTCAGGAGTATCCACAGATATTCGACTCCAAAATCCCTAGAATGCATGGAACTGCTCACTCGTGTTGGTGGTCTTATCTCCTTTGACTCATGCTTCAAGTCATCTCAAAGATGCCTGTTGGTGTTGAGAAGGCTTTTAATCGGTCATTTTGTCATCTGAATCTATATTCACAATATTTCTATGCACAAGTCAGGGGAAATCGAATAATAATGCGATGAAAAATTCCGATTTCTTGACTTGTTTCAAGTTTTACTTCGCAGCTGCGAGTGCGTCTGTTCCAGCGATGAAAAATCAGAGCGTACGTTGTTATTCTGCATAAACTTCCCTACACTTCATGCACCTTCCCAACAAGTTGTTTGATCCCGTCGGAGAAAAAAAATATCCTCAGTTGCTTTTTTTCCTATTATCGATGGCAGCAATGACGCCTCTGACGATTGAAAACCTTCTTCCCGTGGCTGAAGCAATCCAAGCCAATTAAATCTGTCCGGTAGTGGGTTTGCATTGGACGCCTTATGTCCGTATGTTTCCGCTTATGAAAGGCGACCCAATGTTCTGATCCTCTCCATGTGCGGATCGACAAAAAAGCTGAAATGCGTAAGACAAGTTGTACCCTTACCTATAACGACTGTACTTGCCATGTGCGAGGTGGTTCGCAGCTGCAATAGCCTTCCATGTTCTCCCCTCGAGAGGGCACACAAACGGGGCTCGAGCGTGGTGACAACGGGGGCTGTCTCCCAATTCTGCTCATCATCAGTAGAGCACAGCTTTTTTGCTGACGTGCGGCTGGCTGTGAAAGAGCCGGGGCGGAGTATAGAGACGGCTTCCGGACATCAGCACCATCCAGCCCCACTCCGGTGCATATTTGACCGCGGAAAATGGCAGGTAACCGCGGCTGTGGACCCACTCCCCCAACACGGCAAGGACCAGGATACACAGAGGTGAGCTACACCTTGCATCTAATAATGGCTCTGCTAAGGCAGGAACAAAAGCGAAACGACTTATCAGAATAACTGTCACTTATTGTTAGTACTGGACACTAGCAGCGTTACCGAGTCTTGGAAATCCGGAGTTCCTCTCCACGTGGGGGTGATCAGTCGCGATGTATGAACACAGCCACTGAATCACATAATTTGTGCTGTAGTATTGAGCAATGAGTAGGGAGATTTCGGGGTCCGTTTCCTGGCAAAACGTTCCCGACTGTTCTGAAAGTTCTTGAATGGCGGCTGATTTCAGAGCCCACGAGAGTCCTTAGAACCTAAACCGTCATGCGATACTGACGTGTGTCGGAAAAAGACGGTGAGTTTCATCTTGTCACCGTTGGTCCATTTCACTGTGATGCGAGCCTCTTTTGCCTTTTTACCAAACCTCTTACCGCCTAGCTGCATCTCATTAAGCTCAAGTATTGCCAGCAGTACTAAATTGGTATACGGGGCCATCCGGGTTTGGCTGTCCCCTCAGCACTCCGCCTTGTACCAGAGTAGCAAATCTCATGGGCAGGGAATCGTAATCTGCAAGAAAAATCCCCTGGCGGCATAACCTGCCTTGATCCCAAATCAGAAATCAGTAGGTATTGAATCAGCTACTAGGGTTTGAAGTTCTTCCCTTGTGATAGGCTTTTAAAGCCATAGTTCGTACTTAGAAAATTATCACAAGAATGATGAGTTACGCAAAAGTCTCGTCCCTGAGCGGGACTGGAACCTGCCCCTCGTCTTCCCAGCCGGCCAAGTGTTACGCCGCCATGGCCGCTACTGCCTTCTCATCTCGATGACTTTCGTGCCATAAGAAATTTGGAAGCGATAATGTGGGAAGAATCCAGCTTAAGTTCTTCCTACATCGGAAAACCCTAAAGTACTGTAATCCTCTTCGCGTTTATTGATCGCTTTGGGGATGAGCCACGTATCTGGGTTCAATTCAAAATCCTGGTGACACCTTATCAGTTCACGTTTATATTGTTCCTCATTTTTCGTCATTATTCACACACTATCTTCAATGCACAGTTTTTGCCTGTGACCGATACTAAGCCAAGGCGCTGTTTGTCTTGAGGGGGCATTTTGCTCTTCTGCTAATATCTTTTGCCATAATTTTTAATTATATGTACCACCTTGTAAAGACCTGTAAGCTCTTGCCAAGGACAAGCTCATGCTCTTGCAAACTCAGGTAAACAGAGGAAGTATGAGCAGTGCTCGAATGGAACTTGTAGAATACTCCTACCTAACCGACAGTCGCCTAAGTTAACGTGGACTAGATTAGCCTAGGTGCAACTATTGCTTTTTGTGGCTCGGAATAGATATCGGAAAATGTTTAGAAATCTCGACCTTTCGCCACTCTACCCCTCTAGGCATTGACTGGGTAGTCAGCCGTTCTTGCAGTACCGTAAAGCAGTCACAGGTGAACTAGACGATTGCTCTCTATTATTATCTTTTATTCTGAACTTCATTTTCTTTCTTTCTTCGTTTCTTTAACTTTGTTTGATACGAATTCCGAATCCGAACGAATGCACACCGGCGTGTTTTCCTGGTTCAAGGGAGATGGAAGTGAAGTGCCGCGTGGGAAACTCGTCAACGTCTCATGAATGGAACAGAGTTGAGTGAGTGAATGATCCGTGACAATGACGTCCAGACGTCAGGCCTTTTTACTGTAGAGAATCGGTGGGCACACCTCTTTGCATATTCGCTGATGTCTGAGACAGCACAAAAGTTGGCATTAGGATAGGTTTTCGAGGCTTTCAGGAAGTTAAGCT